TTGTCGCTTATTTCCCTTTGAAAATTATTCTTGAGCAATGGACAATTTGCAAAGATTCAGAAGAATTAGTTTTATATTCTGTTTCCCACAACTTGCTTTTGATAACCTCCCAAATGTCCTGTCTAGATATACAGATTATAGACTAAGGCAGTCATTTTGACTTCTCAAAGCCCCTTCTAACTCTTGACTCTCCCTTTTTATTCTAATTAGGATTCTATACTTTTTATGAAATGTATATTTTGTTTTCTAAGGCCAAATGTGAATGTGCCAGATAATTTTAAAGCTTATTTAAAAAAATTTATTTCCTTTCTCCTCTAAGTAACAGTTAATTTTAAGATCAGCCTTCAAGAAGTCTAGAAAGCATTTTGGAAATAGTGGAATCCCTCGTTTTTCTCCTTTGGTAATTTCATTTCATATTATAGTGTGAAGATTGTTAGAGTGTAAACCTACAGATATTTTTGAGAAATTAATATTGTTTTTAAAAATGATTGCCATACCTCATAGATGTATGTATGAGAATGTGAGGGAATGTTGGATATTTGGTAAGTAAAGTAAATTTTTTTGGTGATTTTCTTTTCCCACTTGTATCTTCAATTAACAATATGCCTTCTTTACTGTAACTTTGTACACCTCCTTTTAATTTTTTTAATGAAAATATTTCCTTCATTAAAAGATGTTTCACATTTGCAAATTGGATCTTGGAGTCAGGTCTTGATACCAGCTTCAACTCTGAGAGTCCATACCACTATTGGACAAGGGCAGGGGAGAGCTGCTCGGGAGAACCAGGCTCTCTGAAGGATGGGTTGGTGCTGGTCAGGGCCTCGACTAACCTGAACAAGTTTTCTGAGAGGAAGCTTTCTTGCCAGCTTCTCTGGAAGCTTGACTCAGTTCCCAAGTAACATGAGATGGTCAAAGGTGGGATTTGGTTCTGTGTTAGATGGAGCAGGCACCTTGATATTCTTGCTGATAGAGAGGGCACACCACACAACTCCAGCCTCTGGAAACTTTTGTGCTGCCTTAGGCCGCTTAGAGACTGAGAACCTACTACAGATCTTGGAATCCAGAGAGAAGGCCAGAAAGAGACTTGTCCATTGTGCCTCATATATTCATTGGTTCCAGGTGGCCACTAGTGCATACATGTACTCCCTTTTATAGTGTCAAAAGAAGGAAGGCTTCTATTTGTGACTCTAAAGAGAAGCTTCTTGTGTGTACATATAATCAGTTTGTGTATGCATCAGCATGCTACAGCAGACTGGGGGCTTCTTGCCCCCTCCCATGTGAGTTTTCCTCCTCTCTTTCTGTCAAGCAGAATCTGGGAATTTGGTTGTGCAAATCAAATCCCAGTTGCCTGTAATGCTAAGTCTTGAACAAGTTTTATCCTTGTCACTAGAGAAAGTACTACTAAATTAGCACCACTAGGTAATTTTGGGGTGTTTGTATGTATGTTCTTCTGTTTCCTTTTCTCTGATTGTAAGTGGTCCATACTGATTTTAAAAGTTTATAAATATAAATAAGAATAAAACCCTCCTGTAATCTTCCTCTCTGTAACAGGTTCGGTTAACATTATGAAATGAATGCTTACAGTCCTGTTTTCTATGCATATTATATTTTATATAGTTGAAATCAGACTATATGTAAATTTTCTTTTTTTTTTGAATAGTCACATTTTCTTATGCTATTAACATTTTTCGTATAGCTAAAACATGGATTCTAGGAGAATAATCATGTTTTTAAGGGTGTATTGAGTCACAAAATTACAGGAGATCTATTTTAGGCATTTATTGAATTTTTAAAATAATACCAATGAAAATTACTGTGCTATAGCTAATATACTAGTATTAGTCATAGCAGCTTCCTTTAAGTGAAGAACTTAAATATTTGCCTATAAAAAATTTGCAGTGCTAACTCACTAACTCATCACTGAATGGTAGCTGAATTTCTTCTAAGGTTTTATCCTGGATGTAGAACAGTGTTTCTTAACATTTGTTTCGTCTCCAGCCCTCTGAGAATTCAGTGAAAGCTATGAAACTTCTTCCCAGAGAAATGCATATTCACACAAAAAACTAATTGTAATGATAATCAATTATGATATGCCAGGCACTCTGCCAACTGCTTTACGTCTGTTATTTCATTTAATCCTCATAGCAGTGCTGTAAGGAAGGCACTATTATCCTCATTTTTGAGATAAGGACATTGAAGCATTAGAGATTTGGTAATTTGCCCACACCCATAGAGCTAGTAAATGGGGTTCAGACTCTGATTTTTATGACCCCAAAGCCCATCCCCTCAATCTTGGTGTACCTAGTTTTAGAGAGCTTATAAATTTCCTAAAGCCTACTTATCAATACTCATGTTAAGGACACCTTACCTTTTGCAATCCAGAGATTTTCATTGGCAGTGAAGAGTATGTATGATTAATGAATCTTGCTGTTTTTGTAACTTATTTAATTAATATATAAGTATTTGTTGAACATCTACTATTCTAAATACTTGTTAGATTCTGTGATATGGCCCTTATCCCTAAGGAGTTTACTATCTGCATGGGGAGACAAGAGTTATATACATAAAACAATGAGAAAAAGTACAAATATAAAGTTGAATATACAGTGATTAGACATTTCCATAAGCTATACAAGAAAATTAATCTCTTTACTTTGCCATACCTTGATGCAGTTGTCATTCTTTGATTCTTCAATTTATAAGGGGAAAATCAAACCTAAAAGGCCACCATGTCCTCTGGGAACCTGGAAGATTCACTGTGTCATAAAAATGAGGTCTATAAAGTGAGACTCTGAGAACCAAATATATATCACATCCAGATTCCTGAGTGGTTTCATCAGCATCATCTGTTAGCCCCAGGGAGCATGCCCAATAAGAAGATTGAAGAATGTGTAGCCAGCTCTCAAGCATTCAAACCATGGATCACAGGGTAATTCTGTTAAGTTGAACGTGTAGCGTAGCAGAACACCTTGGTAGTTGCTGCATTTTGACTCAAGTAGGGTTCCTGCTGACAGAGAGAACTTCAATACTTCAGATGATGCAGCCTAGCCTTGAGTCATGCAGGAGCAATAATCTACTAACCTTAGAGGAAACGATCAGGCGTGGGAAGCTTATTTAAACTGACCACCTGACAATCAAGTCTGTCAAAAAGAGTGGCTGTGGCTATAATTCAAAGAACTGCTTTCTACAGGAGCATAGTATGGGAAAGTTGTACATCTGACTTGAGCAGCTGCTGTATACAAGGTTATCACAGATAATGGCTATTGTAAGATATGAAAGATGAATTATGTCAAGCGTTCTACTAACATGACCCTCATCAAGTATTTTTACAGTTTTCGAATTTTACTCTTTTAAAACTTTAATCATTTGAGCTTTACATATGATAGAAGTCATTTATAAATGGCATTAGAATTTTCGTTTCAAAGCATATGGAAACTTAGTGCTGCTAATCTTGCTATATAGTTTATCTCCTTCCATTTTTGAGTCATTTTTATTTGAAATGTCTAAAAAGAATATTTTGTATACAGTTGTGTAATAAATTTGTGCTGTATTTTAAAAAGTTTAATAAATTGTTTTAAATTTCGTTTCACATAATGTTTCCATAATCCCTGCAACTTCACTTATTAGCATTAATTTTTAAAGTGGGGCAAGGATGTTATGAAGACCTATTATGTCTAAGAAGCCCCTAGATGGAAAATATTTCTAAAGAACAGAAATTCCTATCATTGTTCACAAATCATCATTTGAATCTATCCAGCTACTAGTTTTTGGAAGTAGTTTTCTAGACATATATGCAAATATCTTGATGAATTTTATTTAATTTCGAAAGAAAAATATACCAACTCTTTATAATTTTTTAAATTCATTCCTAGAGAGAAATATAATTGAAAGGAAAACATTCCTTTTCATATTTGCATTGAGAAGAGACTCTAGTTGTTTTTGAGGTAAATAGATTGACGTTAAATGTCTATCACACTTTGGCTTCACAGAGAGAATTCAAGACATAGTAACTGTCCAACTTTTGAATTTGCTGTGTGTGTGTATAGGGGGCTTAAACAAGACCTTTGGATTTCATAATAAGCAGGGCTTAGGGACAATAAAACTTGACATTCTTAAGTGTTAGTAGTAATTGTCCCTATAGCCCTATGCAGTTGTCTTCTTGTTAATGATGTAGAAGCCAGAGTCATAAACTGAGTGTGTACCCAAGGCGCTACTGTAAATTGCAAATAACATTCATGTGGTCTCTTTGACCTAAGACTAAATTGGGATAGAGGAAAGAGAATAAAGAATTTTCGAGAAGTAGAAGTCAAGAACAAAGTTTACACTCGAAGGATGGACGTGTGCAAATGTTCTCTAAGTTTTTGCAGTGAGATTTATTTAGATGGACCTTTTCACGTCTGCCAATACTCCTTTGCTTAAGAGCCAAGCACTAGATTGGGGCAGCCTCTGCTGCTGGGGCGTGTGTTTGTTGGCAATAATGCACTCATGAGATAATACAAATAATCAGTGAGGGAATAATTAATGATGTGGCAGGGAATATTTTTTGATAAATGCTTGGGGAATGAGGTGACAGGCGTGAAATTAGAAAATTCCTTCAGCGATCTAAAATATAAATAGCTTTCGGAACTGAAAAGAGTTTCACAGCTGAAGATTTTATTGTGTTGAGAGGAAAAACTTTTTTCTCTCCCCCACTCCCTCCTCCTTTGCAAGTTGTTTGTCCATTCACAAAACAAATACTCTGAAGCCTAGCGCGGCTCATGGGAATAAATTTCAGGTCGAATTAGTACAGTTTCCTTGCTGTCAGGATGCTGGAATTAATGGTGTTTTGATGACACGAATTTTGAAGGGCAAACAAAGAAGCTGAAGGGAGAGAGACATGACTCCTTAGAAGCTTGGTCCTCCTCTCCCCCAGCCTCTCTTGTCTTCCCTGTCATCCGTCTGCCAATCTCCCTGTCCATGGTTAGTTAAAGGCGCTTTTTATCCTCCTTTCTTTCCCACAGAGTTTGCCAGATCCGGCCCGGTGCCTGGGTTCCAGGAGGACACGCTGCAGTTGGCCTTCATCGACTTGAGACAAGTAAGTCTTTGTGTTTTTGTTTTTTGTTTTTCTTTTAAGATGTGTGACTGAAGACCATCAGGTCTTAAGGAAAACGGGAGGGGTGGGGGATTGGCGTTGGCGATTCACACTGGAGACCTAAGGGTTTTTCCCTGTGTTTGAGGCTACCTCTTTTATTTAGCTATCTGGGATCCTTAGCTATGGTGGAGTTAAAGGTTTTGTGGGTAGAAGGGAAGGCAGGAGGTGGGAGGAGGGACCCAGAGAGTAGAGAGACTCAAGTGACCCTCAAGTGATGTGACCCGTTGTGCTATAGTTGGCTTCTGCAGACACAGCAAAAAGATAACTCAGCAAACCAATGCTAAGCAGGTGCACTGATGCAGAGACCGCCTGCCTGGAGAACTTTTGTTTGCAGATAATGAGGGCAGCACCATTTAAGGAAAATGAAATATTTTATATTCTAGATTGCTGGTTTGGTTTGTTGACTTTTTTCTGTTCCCTTAGTCTTCCCATCCCCTCCTTTGTAGAATGTGGTCAGCCGTGAGTGACTAAGTCATTTAAGAAGATGATTAGCAAAGACCCTGACCAGTCATGCTAACCTGACAGGTAACCCTATTTAGCGTGATGAAAGCTGGTCTTAGGCACCTGAGCTTTGCAAGCCCATAAGACAGAAAGAGTCATTCTCTCGGGCAGTTGCTTGCAGATTGAAATGGGTGGGTTGGTAGGCCTTGGTGGTTTGGGTATAGAGGAGCAGGATGGGTGGGGGCCGAAAGACCGAGAGAGTTAACTGGGCTCTGTCATCTCTTCACTCTGAAGATGGATGGGGTTGGATAGAAAGTGTGAATGAAGTTAGAATCAATGACTGATGCTTCTCTCCTATTAAAACAATCTTTTTTTTTTTGTCTGTTTTAAAAAAGGGGCTGGCTTTGTTTCTCCTGCCATAATGATGCAGTGCCTCTTGTTTTCAGAGCTGACATAGTTTGCATTCTGAAAACTTTTAGATGCCCAGGGTATTTCTTAAAGCTGTAGGACCCCTTGTATCGGTAGTCTCCTTACCACTGTGACTTGATTCATGCTGGAACAGCTTTTAACCCGTAATGGATGGCCTGAGCTACTCCTGAATCCTTGTGGATGGGTAGTGTAATCTGTCATCTGATGACAATTCTGGAAAGCCCTGTTAAGCAGAAAACAGAAAATTGTGTCTCTTTAGACCCGCCAAAGTTTGAGGATTCAGGCCGCGTCCCAGAAACGTGTGTCAACTTAATATTTGGGACCGGGGGTGGCGGGGGGGGGGGGGGGGGGGGGGGCGCGGTTCTCTTACGCATAAAGGCTTTCCCAGCATGGTCACAAATGAAGCTGAGTATCACTTAAGACCTTCCACCTGTGGATTCAGCTGCTCAACCGAGGCATTCAGGTTTTAACCCCTTGGCTGATATAAGACTGAAAGATTAGGGTTTTGCTTTAGGGTTTTGTAGAGTGGTATCTCTTGGACTTTACCCCTGCATTTCTTCTCAGAAACTTCTGAGTCAATTGGCTTTTCTTGGAAAGCAGAAATTGAATTTCATTGGAGAAACACATCCAAGGAAGAACATTTCCCTTCTCACTATTCATGAGAAGGAAGTGTAGTCATTCTCTCTAGTTTGTGGTTTTGGTCCCTATGGAAAGCAACTAGTGTTCACAGAAAATGTTAACTAAGGGAGTAAGTTAGAAAACACAGCCAAAATAAGGTGGATCTGAGCCGGGGATGAATGCTCAAGTACTTGTGAGCTCTCAGAGAGCACTGTTGTTTATGCTCAAGTTCCTGTTTTCTATTACATTTCTGTTCTTGGAGTTCCTTTTATGATGTTTTAGCAGTAGAAACCCAAACTCCAAAATTTTACTAATAATGAAAGAGTATGCCTCTTCCTATTGAATCTATCTCCTAATTTCTATTTATGTCTGTCTCTATTAAAGCAGCTTAAATTTTCCTAACCTAAATCGTTTGAAAAACTTTTCTAGCTCTCAGGCTGTGGCTCATTTTTACCAGGGCTCAGGTAGGTTTGAGTTATTGCAAGAAAAATGATCTTTCCACATCCTATGCTGAAAATATTTCTCTCCTTGCAGTTCCTCTTAGTCATTCTCATAACTTATTTAAAGTGAGCATCTTTTTAAAAGGAGACGTCTTCTGAACTATGGAGATGTTCAAACTACGAATAGGAAATCCAGGAGTGTATTTGCAAAGGAGATATCTTGACCTCAAATGAGGTGTGATTAAGTCCTTGAATATGTGTCCTTTTGCATGTACTCTTTGGAATCCTAAAATAGAGTTATGGGATTTTGGGGTTGGGGGCTAATCTTTAAAATCATGTAGTATAACCTTTGCTTGATACTTGAAACCCTGTATAACACCCCAGACTGTGCTTGAATATCCTCCTTGAAGAGAACTAACTGCTCCAAAGCAGCAAGGTCCACTTTAGGACAATCTGATTATTAGAAAACTAGTTCTCAACTTGGCTAAAATCTGTCTCCCTTACCTTTGACCCTTTGACTCTTTATATTTTTATGAACACGTCCCCAATTTGGGGGACGGGCTTTCTATGCTGATTTATTGAGCTTCCTGTCTGCTAGTAATCGAGTCTTCTTTACATGTATCCTTATTACCCATTCCTCATCCAGTCTTTACAGGGTTGATTTTATGGCCCAAATTGGAAACTTTACATTTGGTCTACATTTTTCTTTTAGACGTATTATTAACGACACAGATTTTTATTCTAGCCTGTCTAAACCTTTTTAGATCCTGATTCAGTTGTCCAGCTTATTAACTGATTCAACCGTTATTCCCTTTATAAGTCAAAGCTAACAGTATTAAATAAGAATGGCATAAGTTAAAGAAAGAAGTTAAAGTTAAGGCAAGTTATAGGATGCACATGCATGCAAGAGAGGGATCTGTCCCCAGTGCAGTGCAGCAAGGATATTCTTTTACTGTCATTGAGTGTATTTGTCTCATTAGTTTATGAGTATATTCATTCCGATCATGCTTTCATGTTCTCTTGCTTTAGAGTCTTTCAGACACTATCAATTGAATGATAATTTTTAAAATATTCAAAACATGGAATATTTGATGAAATCATCTCTGTTTAGACTGTAACAGCAGAGTGTCATTTAAAAGCTATAAAATTTCATTAGGAAGCAAATTAGATGTAGATAGCAAAACTATTCATCCTTTCTCACCTGTCCTGTCTAGTCTCAATTTCCTACTTCTTAAGGAAAAGAGTGAAATGACATTTTGAATATACAAGCTTTCATGATATTTTACATTTGTATAGCACTTCAAAGTTAAAGTGCGTTTACATACATCTCTCATTTGTCATATTTCTGGGTTCAGAAAACCTGCTGTTAATGATAATGTGAATGAGACAGTACAAATCAAAATCTCCTCTTTTGCCACTTTATACTTTCTAAATTTCCAAGTTGACAAAAGTAGGATTGCAACACAACTTCACATTCATATATCCAAAATAAGTGTAATTTTCTATCAAAATCCAAATTTGAGTTAATGCTAAGTCTTGAGAAGGGCAACTTAAGGGATCACTTATCAACTATTTTGGAGTGGCATGTACACTCCAAGTACTAATAATTGCTGGCTTTTAATGGTTCATAATTGGGAATAACACTATAGGGCCAGTAGTAGATTCTCAGTAGTTATTTGATTCTTTAACAGTAGTATGGTTTGCATTTTTCTTCTGTTGTTAAATATTAAGTAGATAATGCTGATGAACACCAGAATTTGAACTTCAGTTGGTTTTTATTTCAGTTTATTTTATCAAACTCTGAGTGCCTACTATTTACAAAGCACAACCTAGGTGCTATGGGGGTACACAAATAAATATAATATAGCCTCTGTCCTCCAGGAGCAAAGAGGTGATCAGCAAATACTTGATTCTAATACAAGGCACACTGTGATGAGTTTTACACTGGAAGGGTGAAGCCATTGTGTATGTTTCAGTTATTTCAGCAGCTTTTGCTGCATAATAAATCACCCCAAAATGTATTGTCTTAAAACAAGAACCATTTATTTAGCTCAGGTTTTTACAGATTGGCAGTTTAGGATAGGTTCAGTGAGCTTAGTCATACCTTGAAGTCAGCTGCCGGATTGGCTAGGGAGTGCCTGGTTTAGGATGCCTTAGTTGGGTCGACTCTTCTCTGTTCCACATGATCTCCCAGCCATCAGTAGCCTAACTCAGGCTTATTCACACAGCATCTTGGCAAGGTTCCAAGAGAGCAAGAGGAGAAATGTGCGGACCCCTTGAGGCCTACGCTTGGAACTAGCAAACCATCATTTCCACCACATTCTGTTGGCTAGAGCTGGTCACAAGGCCAGCCCAAATTCAAGGAATGGGGACATACATTCCAGCTGATAGTCTAGTTGCAATATAAGACTATTATATTAATGATGCAAAATAAACAATGCAAATCAGGAGTAAGATTGTATCTGTCTCCCATCCAAGTACTAACCAGGCCTGACCCTGCTTAGCTTCCGAGATCAGACGATCGGGCGCGTTCAGGGTGGTATGGCCGTAGGAAGTAAGATTGTATCTGTAAGTGCAAAGTGGAAAGATCTTTGTGGACCTAAGTAGTTGTAAATATTTTATGAAAAAGGTGGACAGTTAAACTGAAAGAAAATTAGGCATTGATGAGGGAAGAAGCTATTTCAAGCACAGAAAATAAAAAATAATTTTTGTTTTGTTTACAAATGTATGTGTGTTGATATAACTAGTCTCTAGACTATCTTTCCTCCTTTAAATATTAGGCTAATCTCTTTAAATCCCCATTTCTTAATTTCTCTTTATTCCTTAATTTTACTGTTCAGCTTCCTTGTGGAACTCTTTTTTTTATAGCCTATATTTCTCCTCATCAAATGCTGCTTATTGTGGGCTACTCTGAAACATTTCACGTTTCTGTTATTCACATTTATTATGAGGGAATCTTAACTTCCTCAAATAATTATTTACATTATTTGTTTAATTTATGGCAGTTCACCTTAC